TTCTTTCTATGTTTAGCCCTGGGGTCAGCTTTCATCTTGAATGTAGACATCTCCACAACTTTGTGTAGGTTGACTCAGCCTTCTATCCTTCTGAAGTCAGTAAAATTAAGATCCAGATTGTTGGGAGCAATATGTTGACTCTGTAAACCACTTAGAGAGTACTGTAAAGCACTATGAAGCAGTATATAAGTCTAAGGGCTAATGCTAGTGCTATTGCTATTGTCCACTTCCTGGTTGTTCAGCTCTTTTCCTACAAATTTGCACAGTTAAAGTACTGTACCTCTAAGATTTGGAAGAAGAATTGTTTGGAGTATTTGTACAGGAATCTTTAATTTGGAGTAAGCTCCACTGAACTGGATGGAACTGATTTCCGCTTGAATACATTACACAAAATAGTATTAAAACTTAGAAAAGTGTCATCCATTTATTTAATGCATATAACTCACTGATAGTAATGACCTATTGTGGAAATCTTGGACAACAGACACAACCCATTACATTTGCATCAGTTTTAACTGAAAAAAATTATGTGTATGTCTGTTTGTATTTATACGTAAATAATTATATGCACACACATACATGTAAATAAATACAAATACATATATACAGTGTGTGGCACTATTTTCTCTCCATCCTAATAATATTATTCTGATATGTTTTCTTGTTATTTTTCTAATAGACAAATACAGATATTTCTTGGGGTTTTTGTCTTCCCATTAACCAATATATGTTTTATTATGTATGTTTAGCTTTGTATTGTGTTTTTTATCTAATTCACCTAGAATGTTACAGTGAGTTGGGCACCATATAAACCAACTAACCAATAAAGCAACCAATCGGTATGCCTCTTTACCTATTCTGCTATTTCCTTTGGAACAAGCAATGTTATACAAAGCATGTGAAAGGAATAAGAAATAATAAGCCAAGCAGGAAACAAAGAAATAGAACTATGGTTAAATCTAGACTACATATATACAGTTTGCAATACCTCGCCATACTCTTTCCAATCCCAGCAGCTTCATCCAGTTCCAGGACATTTTTTTATCACAATCACCATACATAGGAGTTTCCTCCCAGTAGACAGCCACAGTTTGCTTCATTTGTTCTGTGTTTCAAGCAAACAATTAAAGCCTGGTCATTCTATCATGTGGAGGAGGGCTTTTGAACCCTGAATCTTACTGCTGGTTAAGACCCTCTACTCAAATACTATTTGAAAGTGTGCATGAGTATAAATGGTTCTCTAAATCAGAGTATGCTTACTCATAAAGGTATTAGACAGGGTTGCTTTTTAATCTCTATGTCAAAAATAATCCAAGATTCCTATATGGTTCAGACATCATATATCCAACATCTGTGGTAAATGTATAAATATTCTTTTAAAGGCTGATGATATGGCTCTAGTAGTGCCTTGTCAGTTAGGACTGAGAAAACTGTCACATTCTCAATTCTAAATATCAATAAAATTAAATCTAAAGTGAAGATGTGTAGCAAAAAAAGTGTGAGATACAACTGGCCATTGAATAGGATGCTTGCTGAACAAGTGAATTCTTTCATTAATTTTTTTATAATATTTTAATGGTTTTCCAGTTTTTTATTTGAGTATTTAAAAAACAACGTGGTGACTGGGTTAATCAAATAGTTCAGTAACAGAAACTTTTAGTACCAATCTCGAGTTACATCATCAAATATTTCTTCTCTTTTTTATGTCGTATGTAAACTAGTACATTTCTAATTGCACCAAATTCAATAAAAACTTCATTATTACATTTATCAGTGCATTTTAGCTTATACATATCTTAATAGGTCTTCATAGACAGTCCAGGTCCTGTTATTAATTTCTACCTAATTTTTAATTTTTAGTTTATGGGCAATACTCCAATTTAACCTTTAATATCCATAGTTTTCAGCTTTTGGGTAACTAAAATTTCCCTTATCTTATTTCATAAGAAACTAGAATATCTAAAATACATTTTTTACCTACTTGAATATAATCTTATTCTATTTCCTAAAAATTTTCTATTTCTCACCATATTAAATCACCAACTTAGTAATTATCCTCTTTGTTGGCTCCAATCCATTATATACATTGCCTGGGTTAGTCGATAGTTCAAACATATTCCAAATGATTAATTTTCATTTCCCTTTTAAATCTAATTCTTCGGTATTAAACAAATTAATTCTTTATTTTCCACTAATTTCCAACTATTTTAAATCTAATAATCAAAATTCCCCTTATCTCAACATCTCCTTTTAACCCTCTAATTGACAATATAGAATCCTCTGTAGTAAATCAGAAACCACAGTCTTTCAACTTAATTCTAGCCTTCTTTCTTTACGAACCAGGCTTCCATACCAACGCTTTTAAATCATCAAATAGATCTCTCTCCATTCTTGTATATGTTTAAATTAAGGGAGACCATTTGATAGCCCATTTTCTGGGAGAGCTGGTCCATTTGTAATCATTAAATTGTCTCCCTAGTATCCCAGATCCCCATATTTGCTCTGGTATAGTTGTCTTCAGTTCGATCTGGTCTTTTTCTTTCTCAAATTTCTTCAGATTTGTATAAAAAGTCATTTCTATTTTTAAGGTTGTCGCTTCATTGATTGGGTGTTCAGTAAACTGTACTTGTTGGTCACTTAAGTTCCCTGTCTTGGTATTCAGTTGCTTCATTTCTGTTGTTTTCTGGATTGTTAGTTCTTTAGTTGCAGTCAAAATTTGGCTTTGTACATCTAAGCTGACATCTTGGTCTTTCTTTTTGGGTCGCATTTTCTCACAAGCTGCAAGAATAGTTTGATGTACTGATTTTAACATGGCAAGGGTTTTTTGCTGTTCTTCCTCCATCTCTATCATGGAGTTGTAAATACTCTTTCTACTGGAGGCTGCTTATTGAGCAAAAGTCTGTAAAAGTTCACCTTCACAATTCATGGAAACCAATTTCACTGCCCAGCTGTTCTCTCACAACTGACTCTCTCACAGATAATACCAGGGTCAGGGAACTCTTATCTGGTCTGGGCTGTGAGCCAAGTCTCTTTGTAGGAAATAAGAGATTGCAGTTCCAAGCTTTCCCACAAAGTGTCACCAATACCATTTAAAGTTTTTTTTAAGTCCCGGACTTTTCTAGGTTCTTTTCCAATTTAAATTCTTTTTTGAAGATAAAAATAGAAAGCCCCCAAGTTCCAAAGACATATAGATCCAATTATATTAGTGCTGTTCTTTTTGATGCTTTGATTCCCCTGGGTAGTCAGACACTGTTATTTTTAGAGGGTGGGAAGGAAATTCCCTTCCCTCTCTCTTCACAGGGATTCGATACTTCAGGAAGATTTCTACAGGAAAATACTTAGGGTAAAGAGACGGTAAAATCTCACCCAGTTCCTCTGTGTTGCTTTCAGAGTGCTTGTTAGTAAGTTTGACTTCGACTGTCAGCAGCTAAGTGATGGGCCATATTGCTATGGCTGATCTCTTTCCCATTGGTTAGAAGAGCTGCCCCGGATCAAGTAGAAGGGCTGCTGCCCTTCTGAGATCACATGGGGGTCCTCTCCTCGCTCGTCACCCCTCCAGGTCAACTTCCAACCCTTTTCAGGTTCCCCCAGTAGGATAAAACTGGACAGGGGGGAACAGGGATCGCCTCAACACGTCTGCCAACGCTGCGATGGCAAACTGGAAGTCAAATTCTTTCATTATTTAGAAGTAAAATTTATCAGAAGTTTGAAGGTAAATCATTTTAAAAGAAGTTTGATGAAAGCTAAGGCAAGTATCAAAACTTTATATAGTGATTTAATTAAAATTATCCATGTACCTAGACCAGGGGTAAGCAACCTTAGCTCTTTTATGACTCATGGACTTCAATTCCCAGAATTCCTATGCTATGCTGACTCAGAAATTCTGGGAGTTGAAGTCCATGAGTCATAAAAGAACTGAGGTTGCCTACCCCTGACCTAGACCCTGGTATTGAAAGGATTAGGACAGAAATAATCCCAACAATGGCCTAGGATGTGGAATTGTGGGATCTTACAAAAAAACAAGTTCAGACACATATTTTAAGAAGCATGTTAGGAACTGATGCAAACATGTCAACCCCCATGGTCAAAGAAGAAGCAGGTATCTACTCCATAGAGAGCCATTCAATAATTTAAAAAATAATCTAAATTATTTAATAGCTTGGGTTTTCCACACAATATTTACTTTCAATGGCTTCCTAGGCAAAAGAAATATTTAAACAGAGAATCTTAGATATCAGTACCCAACAGACAGGGAGTTATTGGCAAAAAGTAGATCTTTAAATTGGATGGCTAAGAACAAGCTCATTTTTCAAATTGACAACTGCCTGTCAGTGAGTTTGACGCAATTTCTAAAAAGGGCCTATTGTAGACCAAGAACTGAGTTATTGGATTCCATAACCAAATACAGACATTTTCATCATCTGCCATATCATCAGAGGTTGTATATATGGGATGTTCCAGCCATTGAAGATATTGCTTGTGTTTTGTTTGACTGTTGACTCTGGGCTCATCACTCTCAGGAGTCATAGCAGATGCAGTAATGCAGGGGTGTCAAACTGCTGGTCTGCAGGCCGGATGCGTCATGGAGAAACTGTGCCTATCCCATTGCCAGCAATGGAAAAAAAGTTGCAATACATCGCAACATGTCATGTGATGTTGCGAGTTTGATACCCCTGCTATAATGCAACATCTGGAAACTATAGCATTCCTACACATACAAGCAAAAGTAGATAATACCTTCATTATACTAAAAAGTGGAACAATTAGTGAAGTCAGGTGACACTATCAACAACATCTTGAAAGAATAAAATTCAGAAGGGAAAAAGAAAACAATATACTACCCTTCCTTGATATCTTCATCAGCAGAGTAAATGACAGAAAATTAGAAATGCAAGTCTATTGAAAATAAACAAAATACACCAAGTGTTCCATTTCCAAAGTAACAATTCAAGCACCCACAAGTTAGGCTATTTAAGAACATTATTCAGATGAATACAAACTCTAGTGCATTTGGCTTTATTTATGGAATCAAAATACAAAGGATAGTAAAAATTTCAGAAGGAAGTACAAGTAACTGTTTTCTGCAGTTTCTATTATATGTAATAATAGCACAGAATTTAATGTTACTCTGTTTGATGATCTCTGCAAAGTTGTGAATTAAACATTACAAGGTTACATAAAGACCGTTCTTGGAAGGTCATCTCTAATTCAAGCCATTTGAAGGTGTGCATCACACATTATTTTCCTCCACTGAGCTGGAAATAGGCTTAGGATCCTCCTGAATATCCCAGCAGAACTCGAAGGGCAGTTTTTCCATCCTCTCCTTAAAGACATGGTCAAACTTTTCACTCTGGGCAACAGTCATGGTGTTCTTCCAGTCCCCAACAGTGCCTGGTGGTTAAAAAATGTCAACAGGTTTTGTATTCAATTAAACTAGAGGCTATTTGGAGACTTCCAGTTTGCCACGCAGCCACCATGGATGCTCGGAAGACGAGTCTCGTATTCCCTGTCCAGGTTTGCACCACTGGGGGACCCTGAAAAGGGTCAAAAGTCACCCCGTAGAGGCGACCAGCAAGAGGGGCCCTCACTGGATCTCAGGAGAGTGGCAATTCTCCCGCTAGAGCCGGCAAATCCCTCCAAACCGGCGGATGAAAGACCGACCATAGAGATATGGTCCATCACAAGACTGCAGACAGCCAAAGTTACACTTACCATCTGGTAACTCTAAAGCAGTGTGAGATCTACCTCTCTTACATCTTAATTACTTATTTACCTGCATAAGCTGCTAAAGTACTTTCCTCCCTGTAGTGAGGGAAGGGAGATTTCAGCCCTCCCTCCAGAAACAGCGGTGATTAACTACCCAGGGGAGCTTAAAACGTTGAAAAAATACTGGGATCCTAATTGGAACTCTGCTTTCTCAAATTGGCAGATTACAAGATTTGTAATTTTCTATTCTTTATTTTTCTCTGATTTTTATTTTCTATTTTTACTGAAAATCTGGGTTTTTTTAAAAAAAATAGAAGAAAAAAACTGAAAAAATTAAAACAACTCTGGGTTGACATCTGGTGGCTAAACCTGAGATTGCAACCTATTACTGCCTAAGAGAGACTTGTTGACAGCTTAGAAAATAGATAAGATATAAATAACCTTGAAACACCAGCTGCAAGAAACTTAGCTCTGGTCTTCACTTAGTGGACTTCCTGACTGTAAGCTTTTAGTTTAATATACTACAATGGAAGAAGAACAGGAATGGACTTTTCCTACAGAGGAAGAACAGGAACAAACTCTTTGTATGTTAAAATCAATTGTCCAAATTCTTCTCACAACTGGTGTTGAAATAAGAAACAGTAGGAAAAAACAAGAAAACAGCCTGGATATGCAAACTCAAATTATGACTTCAACTAAAGAATCATCTATACAGAATTCTATAGAGAAAATGGAACAATTAAATGCTATGATAGAAGATCTAACTACTCAACAAATACAGATAATGGAAGATACAGAAAAGAAATCGATAATAGAAAAAGGAAAGGACTTTTCTTATAAATCAGAAGAAACCTGAAGATCAAAAAGAAAAACAGATGAAAGAGAAGAGAAACACTTTGAGATAACCACGTCAAGATGGAAAAACAAGGAGATGACCTGTTAGATCAGCAAGTCCTCTTTTTAAAAAAAGGCAGTTGGATGGTCTTTTCAACATCAAACAACAGCCACAACAACACAAAGGGATCTGCTTGATGATTTAAAAGCAAAGACACGAAAAATGATTTGGAAAGAAAGAAAGCTAGAATAAGACTGAAAAAAGTTGGGATTTTGATTTACACATGAGATTTAAAATAGAATATACCCAAATAGATAAAACATGTATTCTGAGTATAAGATATTATAGTGACTTGAGATAAAGAAAATTTTGGTTACGTAAAATTAAGTAGTATAATATTAAAATAAGAATATTATATTGCTTTATTAATTCGTTAAGGTAGATGGTAAGAATCTATATATAAGAAGTTTATCGTAAACATTAGAGTACGTAAGGAATTCTGATAAAGGAATTGTGGTTAATCAAAAATCTGGAAAAATAAATATTAAGCGTTAAATTTAAATATTAAGGGAAAACTAAAATGGGGAAAAGCCCATTAGGTCACTGATTGGCTAAAAGATTGAATGTTTAAAAACAATTAAGATTTGAATTCAAGATATTGTTATGAGTCAAGACAAAGAAAAATTCTGGCTAAGTAAAACTTACAAGTAAAATACTTATAATTAAATTTGTATATTGGTTTATGGTATAAATGCTAATAGGTTAAAAATTATTAGTCTCAAATATGAGATAGGAGACATACAGAGGAAAAAAAGAGGAAATACTAAGTGTGGAAATAAAGGAAATCTTGGCTATTACATTTAAGATTCTAAGATACTGGAGAATTACTAGAAAAATAAGAATATTACTTCATATTATTAATTGGTTGATGCAGACGGTGAGAATCATGTATAGATCAGAGGTGTATGTGGAACTTTAGACTGTGGGGGAACCGTGATAGAAATTGGGATCATTTAAAATTTGGAAATGAAAAAGATTAAACATTAAATTTAAAATATTAATGGAAAATTAAAATTAAAAAAACTTTATTAGGTCATTGACTGTCTAAAAGATGGAATGTTAAATTAATTAAGATATGTATAAACTAAGGATTATTGATGAATGCTAGAAAGTATTTTCTGTTTGATTGATGGAATAAGAATGGTGTTGGTTTGAATATGAGACAGTATATATTAAGGGGGAAAGAGAGGAAATTAGTTGTCTTAATACTTCGAGATTTGTATTGATGATATTTAAATGTAATGGAATTATTGTACTCAGCTGCCATGTTGCTTTTCAAATATGCAAATGTAATATTAGAAAATTAATTTTAAAATATTAAAAAAATAAACTAGAGGTATTTATGTCATCCTGTCACCAAAATGTTCATAACTTGGAACATTGCACATTTTTCCATTATCAGAGGAATGCTTAGTCACCTCTTTGTCCATCAAACAGTTTTACAAACCTGTATTGATAGTTTTTGGGGAGGAAGCTGGTTGCCTAGTATTTTAACTAGAGCTGGATTACATAGAAAAGACTTGATAGGAGGGCAAAGATCTCTCTAACTAGAAGGGGTCAAGTGATTTCTGTGCCATAAGTATCTCTTACTTGGAAATCGTGGAATCAATGGTCTACTAGTGAGGTTCAAATGATCTTGAATTCACTCTTTTGCAACTGGCCCCATGATTAAGTGAAATGATTGATGGTTCTTTGAGCATCGGTTAGACTCCTACAGGCTTAAGGGAGATATGTCTGTACCACTTTAGGAAGTGCCTTTCAGAGGAAGACAGTAATCCTGGTTTCGGATGAAGCTGAAATGAAAAGCATAGCCTCTAATATGAATTATTACTGATTTACCTTTGCGAAGAAAGATCCTTTTCCTAAGAACCATCTTATCAGTAAACAAGAATCTGTAGTTTGTTCTAGAATCCACTTTCATGTTATTAAGTGCAGCTTTATCCACCACATCATCCACCTCCTTTTCAGTTAGTTCTCTTCCTAGGAAGTTGCATATTTTCAGTACAGAACTTCTCAGATCCTGTAATTTGATATAGCTTTATATTAGTTCATTCATAACGATGGGGAAAAGATGGAATTTTTTGTTGATATATGTGGGGAATTCTAAAGATTATTGCTTCTTTATACATATCTTGCATATTAAACTTTCTTTCTTTTCCTACTGAAAAAAATTCCCTGATATTAAATAATAATTATTTTTTAAACAAAAGCCGAACATGGGCATATCAATGAAGCAAAATCAATGAATTAAAGAAATAATGCCTTAAGTTTCCTGCTAAATACTTTCAAGAGACAGGTTATTGAGAAACATTTTTAGTTTACAAATATATTTAGTTTACAATATATTTATGTCCCAGAATTTCACTAAGATTCAGACACTTACATTGTTAGTACTTTTGACTGCATTAGAAGCTGGCCAGTTCCCAAACCAGACTAAATAATTGTTTTGGCCTCTCTTGAAAATGCAGTTGAGTTGAGTGAATCTCTTCTGATTCAATACAGGAGAATAATATGAAAAACCTGGGCCAGGATTTTGCTTATTACAAGTACATTGTGCTTATTGGCTTTCTCTTATCTACTAAGTCTATCAAAAATTAAATCAACTTTGTTTTCCCAAACTTATTAGATCAATTTTGTTTTGCCAAACTTATTTGCAAGAATGCATGCAAGTCCCCTGGACTGCAGGGCAATCAAACCGGTCAGTCCTAGAGGAGATCAACCCTGATTGCTCTTTAGAAGGCCAGATCCTGAAGTTGAAACTCAAGTACTTTGGCCACCTAATGAGAAGGAAGGATTCACTGGAGAAGAGCCTAAATGCTGGGAAAGCTTGAGGGCAATAGAAGAAGGGGACGACAGAGAATGAGGTGGCTGGATGGAGTCACTGAAGCAGTAGGCATGAGCTTAAATGGACTCCAGAAGATGGTAGAGGACAGGAAGGCCTGGAGGAACATTGTCCATGGGGTCGCAATGGGTTGGACATGACTTCGCAATTAACAACAATGCTGTGAATTCTAGCACGAAATGCCAAATGCCCACAAACACATCTTCTATTAATCTTTTTAATATTAATTTGACAGCACTCTTGTTTTCTGAATCCTCTTCCTTCCTTCTGAAGAGACAGAAACTTATTTTTCTTCAGAGATCTCACCAGTCTTCTAGGTCTAGGACAGGGCTTTTCAACCTTTTCACAGATTGTACCATTTTTAGGACATGACAATATTTGATTACCACCAGTGCTTAGCAAGGTGTCAAAAGCTTGATGACTAAAAAAGGGGGGGTTAGATTTTACTGATTAGATTCATTTGTTGTTAGAGAAATGGCTAGTTTATAATATTATGGAAAAGTAAAAAGTTTAGGTTCAATGTTAATGCTTCCTTCTACTGCAACAGAGGAAGTTGGAAGTCAATGCTTTTTCTTTTTTTTCTCTTTCCCCCTCACTTTTTCCCCCTTTTTCCTCCCTACTGTGTCCTACTATTTGTTTTTGTATTTTTGTATTTTATCCTATAATCTAATAAAACATTACAAACTGCAGGAAAAAAAAAGAAAAAAGTACCAGTTTTAATTTCTTCGGTGGCAGTTCCTTTGCTGAATACTTTCCCTTTGTACTGACAAATGTATGATGAATTTATCCATATTTATTAATATACACCACTACCAGCTGGCTGGTCGGCCCTTCTTCCTCTCTCCCTCTCCTCTCCTTCCACAGTGTAGTAAGAATGCACACACACACACATCCAGTCCCTTCACTGTATCCTTAAAGACACAGGAATCAAGCGCAAAGTAAGAAAGGCTCACAAAAGCCTCGCAGAATAAAGAAACACTAAACTCCAGGTTTTTTTTCCCTTTAAACTGCCTCAGGCATGTCACAGTGTTGCAACCCAAGCCTGAAAGGCTCCGAAAATTGCAAAAAGCAATAACCTTAAATTTACCCTGCTTACCTACAAAGAAAACTTGCTAAAAGCCAAAGACAGACTCAAGATAAGGGGGTGAAACTAATTACATTTCTTTAAAGCAAGGGTGTCAAACAGCTGGCCCATGGACCAGATGCATCATGAGGAAATTGTGCCCACCCCTTTGCTGGCAATGGGGAAAAAGTTCCAATACGTGGCACAACATCACATGATGTCATGAGTTTGACATGTCTGGTTTAAAGGGATTAAATCTACAGATGCCAATACTTTGGACTCATTGTTAGCCTTTGTGAAACAGACTAAAATATTCCAATAACCAAAGCACAAAAGCCGAGCCTCTGAATTACAAAATGCTGTAAAAACTGCACAAAAATCCTTATGGTAACCCAATCAAGCTGTCAGCTGACCCAGAACTAAATAAACCAACCTCCTTTCTGACATGCTCGTCAACCGGCTTTTCATTTTAGCAGCATTGATTACATTCTCCTGGCTGGAGAAAACTAACCAGCGGATCTTTTCTTCCAGCAACAGCTTCTTCTTCCCTGCATGCTGAGCTCTCCTTCCACAGCTTCTTCTCTGTCCCCTTTCCTGATAAAACCACCTCCTTTTATATCCTCTCCTCCCCCTCCTTTTCTCTTCAGTTCACCTCCAGCTACGGAAGCGCCAATCAGCTGGAGCCAATCAGGTGGAGACCTGCAGCGCTCCTGGGGCTTCTGCCAAGCCCAGACAGTCCTGCAGCTCCAGCTGCCTCTCCCTCAGGCTTGGGTCACTTCATCTCATTCCCCCTCCCCTGTTACACTTGTCTAGAAGGGTCACGTACAGTGGTGGGATTCAGCTGGTACACAGAACTTTGGCAGAACCGGTAGCTAATTTTTTTGTTGCCCAGGTCCAAAATGGACTTCTGGAAGTGGCATCCACACAGAGAACCAGTTGTTCACATATTTGAATCCCACCACTGGTCACGTACCACCTGCCACATGCCAAAGTAACACTAGTGATATGCGTACCATCAGTTGAAAAGCCCTGCTCTAGAAGTTTACAGAAATAAGCAAGAATGGTTCTGTCATCACCTCTGCATCTTCTGGAATACGTTATGCTACATATCTGGTGCCACCCAATAGCCATCCCACTTCCCTTTCTTAGGACTGACCTCCACGTCAGCTCTCTATTTCTGGATCTGACCATTGCATTAGTTCCTTATTCTTATTCCATTGTCCTAGTTACTGAGCCAGTTTCCTGTTCTTCCTTGTCCTTGCTCTAACCACTACTTTTCTCACTACTGACACATCTCACAACCCAGGGCTTTTCAACCAGTGGTACGGGTACCACCTGTGGTACATTGACACCTGGCAGGTGGTACACGACCATCCTAGAAAAGTGATAGAGGGGGAGGGGAATGAACTGAACTGGTGGCAGCACTGCACAAGCCTGATCGAGAGATGGCTGGAGCTGCAGGGCTGTCAGGGCTCAGCGGAAGTGCCAGGATCAGTGCCGCTTTCCAACTGATCGGCGCTTCTTCAGGACTGTCAGGGCTCAGTGGAAGTGCCAGGGTCAGCGTCAGGCTCCAGCTGGAGCTTGGAGCTGATCCTGGTATTTCTGCTGAGCCCAGAAGAAGTGCCGATCAGCTGGAATGTTGCAGCATCTCCAGGGTCTTGTCATTTACATTCAGATGCTTGGCAACTGATTCATATTTATGATGGTCACAATGTCCCAGGGTCATGTGAAGTGACCAAAACCTGCTGCAACCACCCAGCAGACAGGGGGAATAAAAACCAACCCCCCCTGCTTCCAATCCTCAACAGAAATGCTCACAACAATGAAAACCTTGGACAGGAGGAAGAGCGCTGCCAGGCACTGTCTTGCTCGGCTGTGGCTTGGGGTCCCTTTTTTCAGTGCCATTGTAACTTCGAAATTCACTGAGTGAACTGTTGTAAGTTGAGGACTACCTGTACTTTATCACTCCCCCCATCAAGTTTTTGACACCTTGCTAGGTGACTAGTGGTACTCAGATATTGCCATATCCTAAAAGTGGTACAGTGGGTGAAAAGGTTGAAAAGCCCAGGTACAGGTGGTACCTGATTCAATTGTGAGAGGGAACTTGGTGTCCTAGTGAACAATCACTTAAATATGAGCCAACAGTGTGGTGCAGCTGCCAAAAAAGCCAATGTAGTCCTAGGCAGTATTAACAGAGAGCTAGAATCAAGATCATGTTAATATCACTTTATAATGTCTTGGTAAGATCACACTTGGAATACGGCATCCTGTTTTGTTACCACAATGTAAAAAAATATGTTGAGACTCTAGAAAGAGTGCAGAGAAGAGCAACAAAGATGATTAGAGGACTGGAGACTAAAACATATAAAGAATGGTTGTTGGAATTGGTTATGTCTTGTCTAGTCAAGAGAAGGACTACGGGTGACATGATAGCAGTGTTCCAATATCTCAGGGTTTGCCATAAAGAAGAGGGGGTCAAGCATTCTCCAAAGGCAGGACAAGAAACAATGGATGAAAACTAATCAAGGATAGAAGCAACATAGAACTAAGAAGAAATTTCCTGAATGTTAGAACAATTAATCAGTGGAACAACTTGCCCCCAAAAGTTGTGGGTGCTCCATCACTGGAAGTTTTACAGAAGAAATTGGACAACACATTTGTCTGAAATGGTATAAGGTTTCCTGCCTGAGCAGAGCGTTGGACTAGAAGATCTCCAAGGTCTCTTATTTTTTTATTTCTAAAGCTTTCTGTTCGCATTGTACTACACAACATAGACACATCTTACCTTTTTCATTTCTTCATAAAAAAGGAAGAGAATATTGAAATTACTCTTATGAGCATACCAGCCTTCTACATGGTCTAGCCACGAACCACAAAGCACTGATAGGAGAGAAATTAGTTTAGCATAAACATGAAGGTAATCTTGAAAGTCACAAGGTTCAGCTGGGTGCTGCAATGATCCAGCTGACCATCTGCCTCAGGGATACATTAGTAATATTTGAATTTCCTCCATTTATCTTTAAGAACCTGGTGGGCCTAAAATTCAAAGCATAATAGCTCAACTAGAGGCCACCCTAAAATCTACATAGTCTAGCCACAAACTATAAAGCGCAGATAGGAGAGAAATGAATTTTATATAAACATGAGGGCAATCTTGAAAGTCACTGAGTTCAGTTGTTCAGCTCAGTGCTGCAATGATACACTGACCATCTGTCTCAGGAATACATTCATAATGCTTGAATTTCCTCCAATTATCCTTACATTCCTGCTGGACCTACAGATCAAAGCATGATAGCTCAACTAGGGGCTATCCTAATATCACTGAATGTGCATATTCTAACTTGTTAAGGGGGGATTTTTGTCAAAATGCTACTATATTGTTTTATTTCTTTGTTTTTTCTTAATTCGATGTTTGGGGCAATCTGATTTAATTTTTTTTATACTTCTTTAGCTATCAGACTTACTCCATTTAGTTCTTTTTCAATTTCCAACCTTTAAATGCTCCCTGTGTGGTTTCATGTTACAAAGATTTGGTTTGTCAGCTACTTTTTTTAAAAAAATAAAGTTACTATCTAGCTTTCAAATGAAGATGGATTTTTATCTATAATGTTAGATTCTGTCCAACCATTCCCAACTGAATCACATCCTGATTTTAAACTATCAATTAGGTATAAGCTTTTCTAATGGAAAGCCCAATGGGTCGCTGAACGTACAGATGTAGGAAGACACATAAATGACCCCACAAAAAAAGGTGCCAGATTTTCAACTACCACATTAGCAATGGATAATCCTGAATAGGATTCGTACCTCACATGGCGTCTGCTGGGACACTCTCTATAAATGAGGCATAGTATCCTCCCCTCCGGGTGACAATAGGTTCCTACATCAAACTGTAAATCACATTGTGTCCAACTGTAAGCTGAGGGCATATACCAGTCTAGTATCTGAATTTTTTCCCATTTAAACGACGCTGCGCTTCAGTGGTTAGGTGGCTTAGACATTGCTATTTTAATGTAGATCTTTTTAACATTTATATTTTATTGGGTTCTGTTAATCTAGGTGAAAGGTTAATATATATTGCAAGTCTATGTATGAGATGCCATACGCTAACTAAATGAATTGACATAAGCTATCTTCTCTTGCCTCTCTCATCCACTTTTACATTATGAATAGTTCTAGGAGTTCTTCATTCTTCTCTACCATCTATCCATTTATATTGTGTAACGTTTACATGAATTACTGCAAATGTATAAAAAATGATTATTTTCAACTTATTTTTGGAGAGAGGGTGGATTGTTTGGTCTTTGTGGGAAGCAGATGGAAATATATTCATAATCTCTTATCCAAAACAAAAACTGACGTAACGTTGTCACTATCAAAGACTTCTTACCTTTGCCAGCCAAAAACTTCTCAAAGAAAGTACTGAAGTCTTTATTATTATTATTAGTATTATTAAAATGATAGCTAGAAACCAAGATATCCTTTGGATTTCTAAGCACATAAATAATCTGTAAGAGAAAGATACCTAGTCAAAGAAACAAGACAAAAACAAGAAAAAAAGACAGACTGACAGCAAAGCATACATAGAATGCATCAAGTATCTCTCATACACTCATCTAACAGGCTCCATTATATCAGGGGATCTCAAAGCTTATTAGCAAAACCATTTTTGAGGCATTTCCAGCAGGCCAATAGGATTGAGGCCAGCCTCATCTTGGAGGAATGATTTTCCATATGGCTGGGGTCACAACAGCAAGGGCTATCATCCTAGAGTCCCCCTGACAAATCTCCCTAGCTGATGGGACCCCAACAGAACTTGATCAGATGGGTAGATGTAACTGGGAAGGGGAGGTCCTTCAAATAACCTGTTTCCAACTCATGAAGGGGTTTAAAGGTCAAAACCAGCATCTTGATTGGGATCCTGAACCAAACTGGTAGCGAATGAAGTTTCCAAAGCAGAGGTGTAATTTATGTAGTTCTTGGAGATCACACAAGTGCTCATGCTGCTGCATTTTGCACCAGCTGAAGCTTATGGTGACTAGGGCATGAATGACTGGGAGTAGGAATTGTGGGAAGGGATTTGAAGGCTGGAAATAGCACCCCTCAACTTGACATCATTCAGCTTTGTTAAGATAGCAAATGGCCATGCAACACAAAGCGTTGTAATCCATTTGGAAAAATAAGCTAAAGCTGGTCGATATTCAGTTCGATTCTTAGCTATTTCTGCTGGGCATCATTCCGTTTGTGTTTATTTTCCTCACTCTTCAAAACTTGTTAGTGTCCACCAAACATATTGGAACAATGTAATATATGTTTGTGTGCCCTTTGCCTATTTGTTAATAAAACATTCAGGCACATAGCTAAAGGAAACAGAAGACACCACCTCACAAGTTAGCAAAATATGTCCTACTTTTGCTCTTCTACTTCGTAATCCTTTGGGTACCAAATAGTAGGGCAGATGGGAAGTAAAGAGACGAGGTGATGGGCGACTGATAAAATCTACATGCAAGAGATTATACTCCAGCCATGGTGCTCGGTCAAGCAGGGTAATATTTTCAGTTTCATCTCGATGACCTTCATGAAGAATCAAGCTGACAATATTCTGAGTCCATATTGTGCCTGCAAATAAGGAATAATTAAATTAATTCATCCAGAACCATTATTATTTGGAGAATTTTGAACTTAGGCAAAGCCTAGCTTCCTATCAGGAGGAATAGTAAAGATGCATAAAGACAATGAAGTCTTCTAAAAGTGATAGATTAAACTGATGGATGGATGAGTAAGAAAATAGCTACAACAACCCTGTGAGGTAGATTGGGCTGTAACTGACCAAAGTCACCCATCCAGCAATGTATGGATAAAATAAAAATGATGAAAATACAGAATTTAGCAGCTTTATTTTTCCTACATTTCCAGCTTCTTATAAAATGTAAATGTTAAAATCTGGTTATAGCACAACATAGTTACAGCAACCAAAATACTGAGGAACTGAATAACAGCATTGGATACAAGATTATTTCTTTCTTGGAAGACATCTTTGAACTTACCAGATTTAGGATATGTGATTATGAATATATCATCATCTCGGATTTCAAAAGTGTCCAGTGAATCTATACTTTCGGGTGAGGACGCATTAGAGTATAAATAGATTCCTTTGTATTTATACAGGAACTCATCTTCTCTCTCCATTGCTTCATCCTGTTGATGTAATAATAGTTCCTACATTTATGTTCAGTATTGTATTAATTCAATTCTTTAAAAATCATGAATCCTGCTAAAATAAAGAAAAACAATGTATATCATTAGATTAGTTTCCTTAATTAATTCATTAGTTTCATGAACTCAGTTTTCACCCATGAAAGTTCCCATTGCAAAGACTAAATTTGTTGTTCTTCTTGGAATCTTAGACTTCTGTGTAGAAGAGAAAGTTTTGATTACAAAGATAAGAACATACTAGTTGCAATTCTTTTCTTACCTTACCTTACCTTATATAGTCTCTGGTAGCCAGTCATGTCATGTCCTGAAGTCATCTTATTACAGTGCTTTCTCAAAGTTCTTGTATTCCTGTAGAATTTTCAAATATTTAAGAAAGCTGATTTGTATTTAATTATTGTGCCAGTGGTACTTCTGTGTTCCAAAAAAAAAAAAAAAAAGACCTAATGGGAGATAGAACATGACTGAATAATAACTTAATTAACAAGACAAAGAGAATCTTCTGCCAATCTTTACCATATGTGTAACAACTCAATCCAATATAGCACAACCAACGTAAATTGTGAGATGGATAACACTGCCATACATCAAAGACATATCAGAAATCACCCACAGACTATTACAAACACAGGGGATCATTATACCACAAAAACCAACTAAAGCCTTCCAAAACATCCAAACTAAGCCAAAATACCCAATAGTGCCAGAAGAAATAACAGGAATCATTTATAACAGAGAGAATTCCTGCAACCTGGCACTGGTCAAATGAGCCAACAACAGGGACATAGAGATAAACAACATTCATATGCCATTCAAAAGAGACAATCAAAAAGCCAAAAGGAAAACAAAAAGACCACAACACCTCCTCACCAGTAATTAACATCCAGATTAGCAGAGATTACATCAAGATTAATACTAGACCAACAATCAAGTAGTAAACAATACCCCAATCAAGGAATTATCACTGCAGACAAATACTGTTCCTCCTCCTCCTCCTCCTCTTCCTCCTCAGGTTATCATCACACTATATATATACTATTATGTCACTTTTTTGAGTAATCCAAGTTCCTCTTATTGTGTCTTAATGTCAACACATAAACAAAAAACTGATTTTGTCAGTGTTGTTTGTGTAATGGCATATGGGAATGATCTTGGGAGACAGGGGAACACATATATTCTGAGTCAGGGGTTCAAATAATACACCCTGCCAAACAACCTTTGCTGCCCACTGGCATTTTTTTTAAAAAAGCCAATAAATTCACAGCTGAATGTCTCCATGCTCTGCTAGCTGACAATTAGTTGATGAGTAATCCTTTGCAATCAACAATGATTTATAATTTATGAAGTAGTCAGTAAGGTTAAGTATTTAGGAGTATATATTACAACATCTAATGGAAAATTGTATAAGAACAATTATATGGGTTAAAGTTCAAAATTATATACAATTATATGGGTTAAAGTTCAAAAAGATTTAAATGATTGGCAAAAACTGCAACTATCGTTACTGGGGAGAATTTCAGTAGTAAAGATGAATGTTCTACCAAAGTTTCTTTTTTTGTTTCAGATGATACCTTTTTTAAAAAAGGATGCTAATTTGGATGAGTGGCAGAAGGGTATCAATAAATTTATTTGGGGTGGGAAGAAATCAAGGGTAAAGTTTAAGATTTTACAAGACGCTTGAGAAAGAGGTGGACTTAAAGCACCTAATTTGAAACTATATTATGATGCGGCCACTTTAACTTTAGTAAGTGACTGGCTTAATTTAACAAATAAAAATATTCTTGCTCTTGAAGGTTGGGATTTATTATATGGTTGGCATGCATATTTAATTTTTGATAAGAAAGTAGATTGGGTTTTTAAGTCACATATTTTAAGAAATGCTTTACTTCGAGTGTGGGAGAAGTATTATTGTAAGTTAAACTATAAAATACCTATTTGGGGGATTCCTGGACAAGCAATTCAGGGGGTTTCTAAGGGGGTGAATTTTGATAATATTTCGTATAAAGAGTTACTGGTCGGGTACTGATTGGCAATTAAAGTCTTTGGATGTGCTAAGGCAAGAAAATATTTTACAATCATGGTTTCAATATTTGCAAATAGTGGAGAGATGGACTTTAGATAAGAAAGTGGGAATTACTTTAGTAGATGAAAATTTGGTAATTCAGATTAAGGATCAGAAACATGCCCACATTAAAAGAATTTATAATGAGTTAATAAAATTGGATTTGGAATCAGAGTTGGTAAAAGATTGTATGATTAAATGGGCCCAGAACATTCAGGAACTGATTTCATTGGACTTATGGGAGGTAATTTGGATTAGAAATGTTAAATTTACGCAGACTCAAAATTTGAGGGAAAATTTTTATAAAATGTTTTATAGATGGCATCTGGATCCTAAAAAGTTGTCTTGTATGTACCCAAACCTGCAACCTAAATGTTGGAGATGTGGTTGCTTGGATGCAACCTATTTTCATGTTTGGTGGACTTGTAAAAATATTAAAGCCTTCTGGATTATGATTTGGTGGAACATTCAAAAGGTTTTTAAAAGGAAGATTAAGTTTACTCCCCAGTTATTTCTTTTGGGTATTTTTGTGGATTTTGATGTTAAAGAAACTATTTTAATGTTGAATTTAATAACAGCAGCAAGATTATTGGTGGGTCAATATTGGAAGAAGGATACTCTGCCTTCTTTAGAAGAATGGGTATTTAAGGTTTCTAATTTAGCAGAAATGGCCAAAATTTCTGCTTATTTAAAGGACCATTTACAAGAGAGATATTTCAATGTATAGAGAAGATGGATAGAATATGTTCAGAAGGAGTATGGAATTACAAAGTTTCATTTATTTTATGAGTAATGAATTTGTTTATAAACTTATGGTGTTAAAGTTTGAAGAGAGTTAAGGGTTAGTATGATTTTGGTTATTGTACAATTAGTAAACTTAAATAGATTTAGTATGTTTAGTATGTTTGTATAACCCTGTACTTACCTCTGGGAAGTCAGGGGGGAGGGGGGTGGGGGAAGAATGGGTTGAAATTTTAGTAGTTCAGATAAGTAGAAATAGTTTTTATTGTATATAATAATAAGGTTTCAATTTGGAGAGAGGAATTGCTCGGGCATTTCCCCCGGACCGCATCCGGAGTGAGAGGATAGAAAAAGGTGAGAAGTAAGTAGGAAGGTGGAGGAGAGGGGGTGAGTGAGAAAGAGAAAGAAGAGGGAAAGAAGCAAGTTAGTCAGAGGGTGGATGCGGTTTGGGGGGAAATGGGTAAGCAATACCGAAAATGGTGTGTATTAATTTGTTTTATTTTTTATCTGAAGTATTTTTAAGATTGTAATGTATTGTAAAATTGAAAATAAAATTTTTTTTGCAAAACAAACAAACAAAAAAACCCAATGATTTATAATTGATCCCTGTAGTCCCTTTCCCTCTACAAGTTGTGCAACAGTTTACCACAACACTTTTCCACATCGCTCCCCCCATAAAGAGGAATGCCTAATCCAAGGCCTGGGAGAAATGTGAAATTTTTAGAGCTCAGCTGAGGGCAGAAAAGCAGAATGTCCTTCTAAATCTCCAAGAGGATACTATGATAAAGAAGGAAGCAGATACTGTGATAAAGAAGGCCAGCTTCTCTGGTCCTGCTAGGTGACATTGCGTGATCAGCAAGTCCCAACATTAGACAACTCTGCCTGATCACACAAGACAGGCAGAACTACAAGAGACAGATGGTCTCTCAAATACTTGTGCCAAGTAGGGTTCTGTAGGTAATAATTTGTAGCCTATATTGCATTTGGGAACTTATTAGTAACCAGTTTAGAGCTCAGCTGAGGGCAGAAGAGCGGAAAGTCCTTCTGAATCTCCAAGAGTATGTTGGTTCAGGGAACAGATACTGTGATAAAGAAGGCCAGCTTCCCTGGTCCTGCTAGATGACATTGCTTAATCAGCAAGTCCCAACATTAGCCAACTCTGTCTGATGACACAAGAAAGGCTATCATGACATTCAAGTAATGAATTAACAGAATAACAGTGTTGGAAGGCACTTTGGACATTTTGTAGTCCAACCCCCAGCTCAGGCAGAAAACCCTATACCATTTCAGACAAATGGTTGTCCAATCTCTTCTTAAAAACTAGCAGTGTTGGAGCATTCACAACTTCTGGAGGCAATTAGTTCCACTGATTAATTGTTCTATCAGGAAATTGCTCCTTATTTCTAGGTTGCTTCTCTCCTTGATTAGTTTCCATCCATTGCTTCTTGTCCTGCTTCAGGTGCTTTGGAATATAAGTTGACTCCCTCTTCTTTGTTTTTTTTTTTTTTTAGTAAAATAGAGAAGGTTGTGTGGGGTCCCTGGTGCTCTCTGAGCTTGGTCATTTTCTTGTAGACATTTCATTACCAAATTAGGTAACATAATCAGTGCTAGAAGGGAGTGTGGTTTGTTCTCATGTAATTACTAGTGGTTTGATATGCCCTGTTTACAACAACTATCATGAACTGTGAATGAACATTGAATGCAGCTTGTTGGCCTAAAGACTGCCATCCCAAAATTGTATTATGTTGGACACCTACTGGAGGAAAGAGGAAAAGATGCCAGCCTTGGAAATTTTGGCACTAAACATTTAAGAAAGATTTTAAGATTATTAATGTCCCTTGGGAAAATGCTGAAGATGCTGCGAATTATTAAACCGATTGGAAAACACTTGCTTCCTAATGTGCTCTACACAGGATGTGATGAAGATGGTCATGATGATCATCGTGGTGGTGGTGGTGATTATGATGAGGAGGAGGAGGATGGATTGCCCTGTCAGTGTTGTGGGAATGGTCTTAGTGGTTCCTTGATTAGGCTGTTGTTTACTATTAGCTTGTTTGTCTGAGGTGATAGTTCCTTGAAGTTTCAGCATTTACATTAAGATACAATCAGAAGAATTTGGACTGGTCAAAAAAAATATCACATAATGCTTATTTCCCAAACCAACATTAGTTATCTGCAAGAACTTTGGAATAAAGAATTGAAATTTCTATAGTGTCCCTATGACCATGGAGTATAAGGATGAAAGGCTCAAAGCTTCTGTCATAAAAGCCTTGGTTGGTTAATTGGTTACTCATCACATATACTAACTTATAACGGGAACATATCAGTAAGGTTAATCAGTGACATCATCAAAATAAAGAAACAAAATCTGAGTAGTAAGTACTAAGGCCCTTCTCCCATTACTCATAGCCTGGTCACCTTGTAGGCTGCAACATATTCTAGAAAGAGCTGTGGCTGGACAAGAAGTGATGGGCAGACTGTCTCACTCTTGGAGATTCAGAAGGACTTTCCACTCTTCTGCCCTCAGCTGAGCTCTAAACACCTTGTGTTTTTCCCAAGCCTTGGCCTAGACAGTTCCCTTTATGTGTGTGGGAGGTGATGTGGCAAAGTTTTGTGATAAACTGTTGCACAACCTGCAAATCAACTATAACAATGTGGATCAATAATTAATCATTGTGGACTGGAAAGGAATGCTCATCAACTATTTGTCAGCTAGTAGAGCATGGAGACACTCAACAGTGTGTCTCTTGAGGCAGCAGTGAATGTATTGGCTTTTTTAAAAATGCCAGTGGGCAGCAAAGGTTGCTTGGCAGGATGTAGCATGTGTAAACTTGGTTTGGAGCATATGTGTTCCCCTGTCTCTCAAGGTCTTTCCCATATGCCATTACACAAATAACACTGACAAAAATCAATTAATTGTTTAAGTGTTGAGATTAAGACACAATAGGAGGAATTTGGATTGCTCAAAAAAAGTGACATAGTAGTATATTATGTTTGGCCAAATGCAATAACAACATTTTAAAACTCCCAATTACTTATCAAATCTGATATGATTAGATTATTTTAACCCTACATTATTGTTCTACAGAGAATTAATGTGTCTTCCCAAACCAACATTAGTTACCTGCAAGAACTTTGAACAATTGAAATTCCTATAATCTGCTTGAAACCATGGAGTATAAGGGTGGAAGGCTCAAGGATTCTCCCTGCTCCCTAGAGACTAAAATGGACATTCTGAAACTTGAGCTGGCCACGAACCAGGAGTGTGTATCGGAGGTGGTGACTCTTTGAGAGCCGTTAGTTATCGCATATACTAACTTATAACAGGACCATAGCAGTAAGGTTAATCAG